ATGGAGATATTTTGTGAACATCGGGAATATGGTGATATGTTACAAGTGTCTTCCCTGCTTCTGGATGAGTTTTATTTACGCTTCCTGAGTTCCTGTGCAATTTACCGGATCGTAGTTTTCTGTGGCGTTCGTAGTAGATTTGGTATATTTGTTTATTTATAATAGGTATCAATTGCAGCATAAAATGAGATATATTAACTGATTTTTAAAACAAATAGAATACTTTATAAAATACTTTTGATATCGGAACGGCTTTTTCTTCACACGCCCTCGAAAACTTACGCTTGTGGACAGACGTCATATTTTCATTTCCTGTCTTTTTCTTTGAGTGAATCTTTTTGGGAGGTATTTACCAACGGCTTGGTAGCCGTAACATCACTGTCATTTTATTTAGACCAAGAGTCATCCGAAACCAACCCCTGGTCGAAGAGAGGGAATTCTTCAAGTGGCATATCTAGGTCCAAGACGAAATCGTCCCAGTGAATGAAGTCGTCCATGGCTGTGGCGAATGTAAATTGAAATAAATGTCCCGGAAGACACACATGTTCAGCAAATTATTTGCAGCCAACTGACATGTGCTTATGAGAGATATCATAAAAAAATCTTTGTAATCCGCTAAGAGACGTCCTTTTATTGGATTGTCGCTGGTCGAAGTCGGAGAAATCTCGGCTAAGGGAATTAACTCTTACCCCGGATATTATATAATATTGTTTACGTGGTTACCAGAATGGTCAGTCGTGAATGTCTGCGCATCTATTGCGCATCTGCAGCGGTACAGAGAGGTTAACAGCAGGGTGTCGGGGTGTATCAGTTACATGCCAGACCGTAGCGCTGATGGTTTATGATAAACTGTTGGGGAGGGCCGTCCCTCTATTATATGGTCTCTGGTTCATCTTAAAAAGGCGATAAGCGCAAAGGGCTATTTGGCGCAGGCAGCTAAGGTCATTGCTTTGGCACATCCTCCCTCTACCAGGGGGTTATGCGGTGCAAGTGGCGATCCTTTGAAACATTTTGTAAGGCAAAGAATCAAGATCACCTCAGTTCTTAGCTGAATACCTCCTACACTTGCGTACCAAAAGACACTTGAAGGGTAGCACCATTACAACATATTTGATAGCGCTTAATTTAGTGTTGGGTGTACCGGAAAATCGCAAGATGAATCGGCTTCTGGAACTAGGGGCCGTACTACGCTCTTTCAGGCTTAAAGATCAGGGCCCTGTTCCACAAAGCGATCTTAGTGCTAAGGTGATCGTAACTCCCATACTTTAACATAGACTTACGACAGTCATAGCGCTAAGATCTTTGGTGGAACGAGGCTCAGAAGGCCAAATTCTGCCCCTGCTTGGGACTTGAATGTGGAACTTTAAGGTTTACGTGGGCCCCCCCACCGAGCCCCTCAACACATCCTCATTTTATGACCTCCCCAAGAAAACAATTTTTCTCTTGGCCTTTGCCACTGTGGCGCGAGTGAGCAAGCTACACGTGCTGGACATCACCTGTGTCCATTTTGAGCATGGTACAGGGAGCGGTACATCTCGGGTTGTGGTGTGATTTCATTGCGGAAAATCAACTTCCAGGCCAACCCAGTTGTTCCTTCACCATCCTACCAATCTCAACAATTTTGTTAGCGTTGAAGATGAGGGTGAACTCAATCGCATTAAAATCAGATCTAAGTTCTGGCTGCCGCTAAACAAAGATCCAGAGACATCCCATTACAGGTCACATCAGAACGACCTTTCGCGAACTTTGACCGACCACTGAAATGACTAACAAGAAGTTGACATCAGCCAATAAGGAAGTAGCTTTCTTGAAGACGTCGATGGCGTTCGTAGTTTTGGCCTTCTGGTAGAAGCCCAGCTGTTAACCAACACAAATAATGAACTTATCCCGTCGGGAACCAGTTTTCCCTTCCAGCACAGTACTGTCTACCATATGCCCGGTGAGAGGAATTTTCAAGGTTTTCATCAGCTTTGGCTTGGTAACACAGTATGTAAAGATTTTAGCTTACACTAATCTTCCGTTTGACTAGTTGTTTGTACGGACTTATCCTCAATTCTCATGTTCCATCTGTAAATAAGATTGAACCAGCCCTACCATCCAGGGTTTCAGGCTTTTTGCGCCTTGTCTTTAAAGGCTTTCTTTTATTGAGGTTTTTGACAGCTGAAGGTATACCCTCCACCATCCCGCTTGACACAGATGCATTAAGGCGTAATGCAGGATAAGAAAAAATATTAGTAAAATATAAATATTTTTTTACATATGCATACTTATCCTACATTACTACGTCTAAGGACCCATCCGTCATAGACTTGCCTCCCCACTACAGCTTCAGAAACTCTTTTTGATAGATCAAACGACGAGCAGTAAAACGGATTGGATGTGACATCACAACCTGTCACAAGACAGCAGCGGTGGTCCTGTAAAAAGCGGCCTTGAGTCGGAAACAGTTGTCTTTTTTCTTTTTTCACCCAGGACCGTCGAAAGGCGCTATCTTTTTGGTCGTAAGGTAAGCAGTAAATGCATAAAGGAGTAATGCATTGTCATTGTGTCAAAATTAATGATCGGGAATCTGGAGAAACTAATAGGATAATTGCTGTCATTATCATATATCAATAGTCTAATATACTGAAAATCAGTGTCTGACTGTGACATAGCTAAGGCACTTTTCAAGTTTTGGCAATTTTGGAGATATAAATTGCAAAACAATTTAGCAAAGACACTAGCCAAGAGAGATCAGTTTCAATAGCTGTGCTTGTAGACCTCTGCGGCTTGGAACCTTTTCTACAGATTAAAACAGTTACATTTGGCCGGAATATGTTCGAATTGTTACCTTGTTTCATTTAGTTGCTGTGTACATCTGACTGCATTTCGTAAGGTTGTCACAGGACAGGCCGACTATCACAACTTACTGTGGCCGTGACGTCTCATACACAAGGGTTAGAGTAGCTTCCCTTTGATAAAGGGCACTAACTCTATCTGACAGAAATGCTAGTAAAAACAATTTGTGTTTTCCACGTGTGTAGTTACTCCACTGTTTAAGAAACAGGTTGCAGTTGGAACTATATTTCGCTACTGTCACTCTCCGACTGACACATTACTTACCCTCTGACGTAATATATATTACTGCGCACATTACACGAAGACTTGCAATGTTTAGGTTATGTTTATGAGAGATGGAAGAGATTTTCGAGCACAGAATTGAAGAATGACATTATATGATAAAGATAATATCACGCTTGTGTGTTTGGGGATGGTACATATCTTGTATTAGGAACAAACACTGTATGTATAGCTCGCAAATGCTCGCTAAATACAATGTTTATTCCTAATACAGGATATTCACCATCCCCAAACACACTCGCTTGATAACCTCTATTTACAAGCTTAAAAAATATTTACCTGTATTTAATTAATGATGACGCCCTCAATAGAATCCGACCTCAGCAATGTCGGACAAGTCCATGTTATGCACAGGTGGGTATTTTCCACATATTTTCATGTCTGCTGCTTTTGGATGCGATCAGTTGGCCATCGCGTTTATCTCCGTTGCCCAGCTACATCTATGGGGAACAACTCACTAGACACTCCCTAAAAATAACGTCATCCAATATACAACTTCATCAATTTGCCAGTGCATGTTCTAATATCCAGAAATGACGTAATAGTCAGGCTCGGTCATAAACAATCGAGACCTTCAGTTTTTCGCCCACGTACCCGAAATCGTTTTGAAGTTTTTTATAGCTGTTCAAGATATGATTATTTATTATTACATACACATCTTGTGTGTAAAAAACTATGTATATTGTAGGTATAAGATCAATTAAATGTATCGTAATGTTTAACAGTTATAGTTAGCTCCTGTGACCAGCTCAAATAGTCCCGCGATCTACTGGCGCTTATGTCATCAAAAGTTGAAGTTCATTCTGAGATTGTTTCATGCTTCAAATCTACTGAAGTAAAGTATTTATTCCAAAATACTTACGTAAACACCTTCCTGGACATGTTATCTAAATTACTGTCACATCATATATTTGGTGTTTAATCGCTCTAACTTTTGGCGGTGCCAGTGTCGATTGCCTTCTGAGTGCTGTTTTCAATATGCAAATGAACCATATTTATGAATTTCAGTAAAGTGTTAGGTATGACAAGGTTTATTGTAACTCTGTATAGCTGTGAGGGCAGTCAATAGTGAGCTCACAACCAAAAGTCATGGGTTACAAGCCCAGTGAATGTTCATTAAAACTGGTTCCTCGTTTCCATAACATGGACATCAGTCATCGTTACAAGATGTTCTGGTACACAATTCTAAAGGTTCTTCTTCTTCTCAATCTCATTCAAATCAGACCTTAATTCTCGGTACCGCTAAACAAAGATCTGAAGATATCCCATTAGGGGTCACGTCAGAACGACCTTTCATCCGACCAATCAGTGCGTCGCTTACCAGATTATGAAAGTGACAGTCGGAATGTGATTTCTAATCATGCAATCTCGAAAACTTTAACATGGGGTATTCCAAACGATAGTTACGGGTTTAACGACTGAATCCTTACAATCTAGACCATCTATTAGCCATTCCAGAATTTTTTTATTTTCAGATTTCAAATTTGTTATCGAGAATTTGTCAAAATATGTTTCGGGGTGTATTCGCCAATTTGAAATTTGTGCTGTAAAGCACGAGAAAGCTGCCTTCTGATTGGTCCTTCCATTGGTCGGTCAAAGTTTGCGCAAGGTCGGTCTGACGTGACCCGTAATGGGATGTCCTCAGATCTTTGTTTAGCGGTAGCGAGAACTAAGATCTGATTTTAATGAGATTGTCTTCTTCTCCTCTAAAGATCTGGCACTGATTTCTAAAGTGCTTCCTTAAATATGTTGTTACAGATTGTGGTATAACATTTCACTGTAGTCCTCAATATTGGAATTTATGCAGAAAATACTAACATTTTATGCTGTAAACTATATATATATGATGAACTGCAGTGCTGTGATACTTATTTTCACAGACCAAAGATGCAGTGATGGACGGTTATCTCTCTAAACAGACACCTAAAGAATCTCCGCTCATTACCGATGAAGGCCAGTTTAATCAACAGAGGTGGGTTTCTGTAAACATTTGTTACCTTTCATAAGCAGAGTCTGCAAAATTGAATTAGGAGATGGAGACAATAAGTACCCTAATAATCAACCAACATATATTTCATGTTTTACCACTTTCATTATGAGTAACCTCTAGTCAATAATTTACATTTTTTTAATTCTTCCCGCAACCATCTTGGCTTATTGATTGGCCAAGAAAATTCTTCAAACAATAAATTAATAGTCTTTCCAATATACCGGTAGGCATATAAAACCTATTTCAGGCGTTTACCTTCAGACATCATGAAGGAATGTTGTTTAGTGTAGTAAGTCAGCAATATTAAAGTTTATCATACCTGCTCGTCTGGAGCAGACAGACCAGTGGCTGAGAGAACAAGCTGATATCCAAAACTGTCAGGTTGTGATGAAATGCCAAGTCACACATCATGATCACCCAATCCTGATAATTCCTGCAAATACCATACCTCGATCATATCATTGCTGTAATCCTGTATCTTGGCGGTACCCTATAAAACTCTCTCATTTAGTTGATAGAAGTCAAATGTTAATCATGAAAGTACTTATTTGGTGACGGTATTCCCAATAATACAGTGTTCCAAATTATAGAGGGCCCTGGGATCATTAAGTTTTGCTCCGATAGTATGAATGTAGAGGGCGCATAAGTCTCAATGTTGTTAATATTGACAACCCAACATTTAGGTTGGTTTGTAACTTGCACTCTGATTGGTCTGTTCGAGTGAGTAGAGTAGCAAATGAAATTGGCAAATGAAAATCAAGTGTGAGCAATTTGAGATCACAAGAACAACAGGAATGGATCCAGGGATTAGAGTAGGTTTACTGAAGTCTCTGGCAGGATTCTCTCTTTTTTTCTTTTTTTTCAATATTTTGAATTTTAGTCCTGATTCGACCTTTACACTTCGACCATACTGAAAGCTCTTTTGGATGTTACTTAGTAACTTAGTGAAAAGTAATGAGGTTTAGTGTATAGTTTGTTGATAGTGGAGCTGAGCACACATGTTATGGTTTTTGTGATATTTAAAATTTTGACCTTTAATGGACCTTGGCATTTAGTCCATTCACTCAAAATGCATTTTATTGCACTGTGAACATCATCGCCTGAGAAACCACAAGACAAATAAAGATGAAACCTTGCATGCTTGTTCCCACCTATGACACCTGAATATGTTCAAATAATTCTAATCCGATTTCCAGCATAGCCACAAATATTGCTGAGTGCAGCCTAAAGCTAAAAACATATTTTGAAAAATTTATTTATGGCCATGAATTTTAGAAAATCTTAAGCTCTTAAATTCTCTCAAAGTACATATTTAGCTCTGGAAACTTTTTTCCTCTGGAATTGCCATCATGATAACATCATATTTTGTCCAAATCATTAGATTTGTCCCCTTTGTTGACTTTTGAAACTGTTGACTACATATCCAGGTGAGCTACAGTGCTGTTGTTCTATTTTTTGGGTCGGAATCATTTGGCCTGCACTCGTTAGTATACAGTAGTCAGTCTGCAACTTGGCCACTATTCTGACACTTAAGTAGCACTTCTGTTTGTCTACAGAGCTGAAAAATGACAGCCAATATGTAAAGATGTTAAATCTGCTAAAACAGGACATGTCTAGTCCAGTAGACTCCATACATTTGGCATATCTGAAATCATTTTGTTTGTACAAGTGAAATTAATATTACAATGGCCAAGGATTAGTAATAATCATATTGTGGATCATGTGAGATTGCAGATGCAAATGAAATATCATCCCCTCTATTTGACACAAATGTTGTGTTACTGTTTTTAGATCAAGTAACAGCTCTTACCAGTACATGTCTACCTTGCCTAGAGAAGAAGGTGTGGTGTTTGGGGAGGTTGTCCACGACCCAAATTTTAAATACCGCATTTTGAAATCTGCTGGAAGTGCTCCTGTACATGTTGATCCCATACACAAAATCATGTACCCAGACCCCTGCCATCATGTAGGTGCTTGCATCAACTAAACACCTTCAACCCCCATATATTTTGTGCTTCTCTCTCTCTTTTTATTGGTATGTAGAATTCAATTACAAGTACCCACTGATGCTTTGCTATACTACTACTCAATAGACTATGAGGTCTTTGATAATGTTTGCCATATTTTGAGGCACTTGTGTTTTGTGGTCAAGGTAAGATTCACTGCTGCTGTGGAAGCCATGACAGTGATGACCAGTTTAAGAATTATAACTGCAGCTGTGTACAGGAACAGTGTGGATATTGTAGTTTAAAGAATTTTAATTTTATTTTGAAATTGTTCTTTGTACCATTTTACTGAATTAGTTTTTCATTTTCAAATCACATCAGTGTTTAAAATATAGCCTGCTTACCAGACTAAGATCAGCAGGATTGCAAAGTCCTCGAAATTTCACAGATACTCAACAATGATAAATAGTACATCTCAGAACAGTCAAATCAGGCCATCTTTACTGCATATTGGACGTTTCCCATACTATACTATGCTATGTATGAATTTGTCCAGACATCAGCTTATTGCTAATATCTAACTTTCAGGTGTCACTTACCCATGTTTCGAGTGAATGAAGAAGGGTTAAAAAATCGCTATAGAAATCGTCAAGAGTTAGCACCCCATTGTGACAAGGCTTTCGCCTTACTTTACCCTGGAAATGATAACTCTGATTACACCTGTGATGTGAACCAAAACAACAGGAGAATGAACATCATGTCAGATAAATATAATATTTTGAACAAAGTCAATGGTCCCTTCCATGTACAAGTATTAAGACAAACACCTGAATAAAATCATGTTCTATTATTCAGAACATTTTGTTTCCAAACTTTGTTTGATTATGATCAGTTTTTGTTATTGTCAGCAAGTTTACCAATGAGTCCATGCTGCATATAGTTTTATCATGGATATTCTTTCGCACCTTTAGCTCTGCCATTGTATGTTTGGTTAATAAGGTCTTGCATATTGGACATGTCACTTCAATATTCTGTGACATGAGCAGAAAAGAACACATCTTAAGCTGGACTGTCTTGGTTTTGTTTGGACCACTCTAAGGTTGATTGTGTAAATGAAAACTATCATTCTTTTTTCAGACAAAATCATGAATCTCTATTGGCAAAGAATTTAAGGAAAGGATTTGATTTTTCTCAGAATAGGAAACATAGGTTGGAGAATGAATCTATCCCCAATCTACCACCTCCTACAATCCTTGCCATCCAGCGAGATCATGTGTACAAAATCTTCCACCCATATGACTTCCATAGCTAGTAGCTGCATTTAAAACCTGTTGATTCTTGTTCTGTGTTGTTTTATGTGTGGAGTATCTCATCAACTTTATTTAAAATAGCAGTTAGAACAAAGTTGAACTTGTTTCCTGTTTACCAAAGGTAGTACTATAATATTAGATCTATTTCAGAATGGAAATGTTAAATTTGCAATATATCAGGTCTTTTATTTTTTTATGTATTAATGAAAAAAGTAATGTGTTTTTATGTTTAAGAAAAGAACATTTATTTTCAATTATCGTTTCTTATTGGAACATACTGTGCAATAAAGTTATAGGTCTTAAAGAGTGTACAGCCTACTGGTGGTTTGTGTGTTATTACGTTCTGTGCACATTCTAAAAGTCAGAAGAAAGCCCTGAACCAGGTTGTGTACAGTACATTGATATCTTGTTCTAAAAGTCAGAAGACAGCCCTGAACCAGGTTGTGTACAGTACATTGATATCTTGTTCTAAAGGTCAGAAGACAGCCCTGAATCAGGTTGTGTACAGTACATTAATATCTTGTTAATAAAGACTTCAGTTTTTTGTAATAAAACTTGTGGTCTAACGAAGGGAGACAGTAGATACCATGGGTTATATCCAACTAGTTCACAGCTCATTTCAAACGAGTGGTTTACGTAAAATAACTAAATTTTGGGAAGGAAACAAGTGGCATCTCTAGATTTCACTCGTCTAGATGAATAGACCAGTGGCTGTCTGGCCCTGATTATAGCAACAGGTTTCCAGTTATGAAATCAAGATTTGAATACTAATATAAACAATAATTTGCCCAAGGTTGGAGATGAGGTCTCATACAGAAATAGGGTTTTACCCTGTACACACGGTCATGTTTACTTGTAAGGTGTTATATGTATGAAGAATATTTTAAGTAGGAAGAGAATGGGTCTATATAAACTATTTTCATTTATGGGTCACTGTCACTGCACTAGAGTAAATGTTGTGCTGTTCTATTTCTTTGCAGGAATCAAGGCAGGAATGGTCATAATTGTCATAAACATATCAACTACTCAAATGTAGCAAGTGATACGATATATCCAATTCTGCATCCTAAACCAGTCTTCAAAGTGCCTGTGCCAGAGTTGCCATGTCGAAAACCACACTTCAAAGTCTAAAATATGTTAACCTTGCCAACTTGTTTGTATAAATGATCCTTTGATAAAGACAATATTGACTTTAACAATATTGTATGATTATCTAGGAGTGTTCTGTCATGGATTGGAAAGGAACGGAATAGACGTCAGTATGACCATAGTCGAGATGGTCCCATTCTGCCCAATACTTGGACAAGTTTGAAAAAAGAACTTCAGTTTAGGGAGGCAACCACTTCACTGTTTGGAGCATCAGCTGTAAGGATGAAATTCAATTGTTCATCCTGAAATTCATACGAGACCTAGCATAGTATTAGTTTTGAGAACTTATGAATGTTCATGGGAACTTGTAAATTGCTAACCAGTTTGCTGTCACTTGTTATTATGTGCAGTTCCTTTCAGCAAAGGTGAACAATATTATATTTGCCTAGAACTATATTAACTCATCTAGTCATTACTTCAGCCCCAGAAAGGAAAAGATTTATGGACAAGTGACAAAAATGTATATGTAATGATTAAACAAGATATGGATAAATATGATATAAATAAAAGACAAGTACTAAAGTACTGTAGTGTCTTTATGTGACTGTTACCCCCAAGTATATCTTACCAATTTCATCTCTTCCACATCTGCCCCAATCTTGGTTATTTCTTTCCAAATCCTCACTGAAGCAGCAAATATCAAGTTTGCTGTAATCAAAAGTGTATTTTCCATGCTTGCACTATCTCTTCATTTTATTTCAACTTGTTTTTGGTTTATTGTAACTGTGTTCACATTGGGTAATTTGGCAAATTGAACTAGATCTAAATAAACCGTATACATATGTGTAACCAGGGTTCACTCTAAGAATCTTATGTGAAAACCTCATATATTCCAGAGGTACACCCACTCTTGCCAATACAGCAGAATGTTAAAATGCCCCATTGTATTTGAAAATGTGGGCCTTTTTTCAAATTTAAGGGCTAAAGCCCAAGGCCCCACCCTAGAATTATACCCAGAACTCTGTTACCTTTTCAATTACCCCTTCAAGATTTAAGATTTTTGCAGAATAGATTGAGCAGCACATGATTTTTATTTGTTTATTCAGGTCTACATCGGGCAGATGTCCTCACCAATCTGCTTTAGTTGACATGGGGTAACATGAGTTGGGGTGTTACATTCATAACCTGAATACATAAATTATAAGAGTGATACCAAAGTTAATTTTTAACCTGGATTACAGTGTGTGAAAGGCATTTCTTCATATTCATTTCTATATATATTTCACATGGACAAATGAAGCGTCAGGTTTATGAACTACAATGTCAGGGGGGGCCTATTGTCTGTGTATTCCTGTAAATTGTCCCATTTTCAAATGAAGACTTCCCCCTTTCCCCAATTATTTTTACATCACCTCTTGTGCAAACATTTGGTGTATATTTTGTCAAACAAATTCATGTCACTCTTCTGCATTCCAGCATGTTTGAAATGACTGCTAAGAACTAATATGTTTGAATAGTTTCATGTTGCAAGAACATGAAAGATGCAAGACATTTCATTTGTGCATAATCTTACATATTTTACAAATACCTGGTTTCAGTTGAGTAAGTTGATACAGGCGCTATGTATTCCATATCTTGTTTTTTTTATAAGTATAAAGTTTTGCACAGATTTGATAAAGTAAACCACCATGTTGATGGCCTTCGATAGTGTGCATATTTTGGTGTATATGAACATGCTGTTTCCTGTATTTTGTTGTGGATGAATCTATTCTAATGCGTGCTGTGTGATCTTACAAGGAATGTGATGTCGTTTACCTGTGTACCAACTGTAATATATTGTACAATGAAGTCAGGTAAACAGTATAATAGTCATGAGTAAGTAAAGGAAAAGGAAGGGTTATCTCAGCCATTGAGAACATTTCGAGGAAATACAAACCATAGCAAGAAGTGGTCATAGCTCTTTAACTTGGAGGGATTTTTTTTAAATGCTACTGTTGAGGAATAAGTGAAACAAATCTCTGTGTATGACAGATTGTCAGTATAAACATTTCTAACTGTCTCTTTGCATTGCACTGCTGCTTACCATGGACAAAAGTATTGACCAGAAGCTTTCATATGCCACTGTTGCTATACTATACCTTGTCAGTATTACACTATTATTTGTTTATACAATATTTGCCTTTTATGTACTATTTAATAAAATATATTACTTGCACAATGATTGCTGTTGTTTTTTTAACTGTTTGGCAAACTACAATGATCCACACAGTTTTAACATAAATGCCCACTCAGACACAGTAGACTCCGAGCCTACCCGTCCTTGTTTTAGCCTCTTGATGGCAAGTGCCAGGTAGGGTTGCAACAGGTACTATCTTTTAACATCCTTTTGATATGATGCAGTCAGGGATCAAACCCATGACTTTCCGCTCTCCAGGCAGACACTCTATCCACTATTCCGCGGAGGCGGTCTCTCTTAAGAAGCACAATTATATAACATAGTACTTAATAGCATGATTTAAAGATGCATCATCAGCAAGCTTTGTCTGATACAGTACACTTGACTTGATTAATATTTTGACCCTCGATCGATTGTTATTTTGAAGAATGTTCATGTATTTATGTACGTCTTTTGTACTTTTGTGACCTCATAGTATTACCACGATGTCACAGATCGAGATTTAGATATTTTTTGTCAGCCTCAGCTTCAAAATCAGTTATATATCTTTATTTAAAACTTTGAGCATGATTTTTTTGTTACCTTGCACCAATCTAATTTTTGTGGCAAGAGATTTCTTTCTTTTTTCAACAAGCTGAAGCAATATTCCATGGTCGGTCCCTAAATAACAGTTTTCTCTCATCTCTGGACAACCTTCATTGTGATAGAGGAAAAGATCACTGTGTAACTCTCACAAAACGATAAGAAAGCTGTCTCAAACATCAGGCAAGCAGGTAACTTCAAGTTGTAAGTGGCACAAATGTTGAAGTAAAAACAAAAGTCCAAAAACATGAAAAATCATATTTCTTTAAGAAAATACACATATTAAAATCTAAATTTGCCCTGCACCTATTCTTTTAGCGTTGAAACTGTTCCCTAACTTTTGACAAAAATTCAAGTTATCATGTAATAGGTCTCAAAAATGTTGAACTCAAAAAATAAAAAAATAGTTGTAAAGAGTAATTTTTTAGAAAATCCAAATATTGAAATCAAACTTTGCACTTCACCTCAACTATTGGTATAGAAAATGAGCTCTAGTATAACCATATACCCCCACCCTTTTAGGTTGGGGTATTATTAAATTGTGAAATCAATAAATAACCACATAAGATCTATGAACCATCAACAAATTTTATTGAAATACACAGGTTAAGGTGCACAGTCCTGAAAAGCAATACAGTGGGTCAGCAATATTAAATATCAGGCCCAAGTCAGTTGCGGTAATTCCGTAACCCAAACAAATTCGTACCCTTACTGAAGAAAATTTGTAACCCTGAAAAAGAAACTTTGTAACTCATATTTCATATTTCTAAAGATTTTTTTTTAAACAATGTTATCATTGGATTATAGGTTTCCAAACATATTTGTGCAGTGCTCTCACGAAATGTCCGAAATTTGTCACAGGTGAATTGCTCCATTCTTGAATCCAGGAATCGGCATTTGAAACATGCAGTAAAGTTGCGGTTTTCGTATAGGTATCCCATCTGCACAATAGTCCAGCCAAAATAACAAGGCACCCACCTAAAATTGCATCAGACACTCAGAATTTATCCCTTTGTAACATATTAAAAGTCTACCAAAATCGGAGTGGTGGAAGACGGTCGAATTTGACACCTAAAGTCAGGGGGGTCAACGCCACTCTGAAGCACTCATGTGAGATTATGATCTTTTTCATTATTGTTTCAAGTGTGTCTTGATGCATATTAAATGAAAGCTCTCTTCATATGCTTTTCAGAAATATATACTTTGTCAATGTGAGATACATACATCTTGAGAAATACAAAAAACACCCCAGTATTAGTCTAACAAAAATAATTACAACAATTGATAATGAGCAATATTAAAAAAAAATTGTTATAAAATTCAAAAGAAATGATTTTGTGTTATTGTTTTTAGAAGGTCATATTAAGTTTATCTCTCACGTTTAAATGTAAATATTCTGTACCTTTAAGAAATATACTCTTCAAAAAAAGAAACTTGACAGATGTAAAACCACTTTTTGCCAAATATCTAAAATACAGTGATCCCTCGCTATTGTGCTCTTCGATAAAGCGCTACCTTGGTTACTACACGCGGTAACGCATGGCTCCCAAAATTTATGTACACTTTTTATACTGAGAGTTTTACACAGACATGATTGCATTGTTGTTCGTTGTTCATTTGCACATAACGCTTCTCATTGCATAATCAACTGTTTATCGCTGAATGGAGTTCTAATAATCTGTTTGAAAACATCCACGGCAAGTCCCGGAAATACGATTGTTCTGCTAGTTAACTTTTCACACTATACATCCTTTGATCTTAGAAGCGCATGCACGCAATAAAAGAGAACCACAAGCGAAGTTCATATTCTTAATTAGTGGGCAATCCAATTTGAGGCGACACTGTCAACTCACATGTAGTTGCTGTCACAACACGACGGTCATTCCTTTTGATTCGGATCAAGTAACAGTATCAAACCAATTAATCTGGCTTGAATGTGTATCTATATTTGTATGAATGTGTATGAATGCGCACATGTAATAAATTCTAGTGCTGGTCAAAACTCTCTTTTTCCGTATTTTAAGCAACATGACCAATCAATGCCACTGAAACACTCTGTACTTGCGTAATGAATTGTGTTTGGCTCTTCACTCATAGCTTCTGTTACTACCATTATCGATCGATATTTTCATGTAAGTAGAGTACTTTCACATTGAATGTGACAGTTAAGGCTTGTAAATAATAACAAACGGCGAAAACATAATGGATATATTTTTTACACTATGAACCGTAAACAACTTGTATCATTGCAATGTGCGAGACAAGGCGAAGATTGTGAGATTGGCCGAGCGCGCTCCCCCGCCTCCGCCTCGGTTAAACGGCTCATCGTCTATAACGCCAACCAATTATTTGGACCCCATTGGTAGCGTTGTAGCGAGGGACCACTGTAACTACATTAAATGAAAACCAAATAAGTCAAACAGAAAGATGATGTGTCTATAATTCGCGAAAACACATGCAAAGCACATAAACGTAGCGTTTGGGATCAATTTTACAGCTTCATCCAAACGCAACTGCCTGTAAAAAACGTGTAGCACAGGATCCTGCATTTAGGCATGCAGGCCGCCTGCTGAATGGGTATAAAAATCCACATCAACGGCTGTTCATACAGTCCTTATAACGGCAGTAGAGGCGGTGACAGAATGCCAAGACTGAATGCAGCTCAACCGGAACAACGCCATTGGGAGATTACAAGCTGGAGCAACTCAGCAAGAAGTGGCCAGGCACTTTGGCGTATCCAGACAGACAATCTCCGCACTGTGGACCCGATACAACAACACCAACAGAGTTGACGACAGACCAAGGTCAGGAAGACCAAGGGTGACAACCCATGCACAAGATCAATACATCCGGCTGCGACACCTCCGAGACCGCATTACCACAGCCACGTCTACAACCACACAGATCCCTGGGGTACGCAGAATATCAGATCAAACGGTACGCAGCAGACTGAGGGAGGCTGGACTTTTTGCACAAGACCTGTTCGACGTCATTTATTGACCCCACGTCATCTGGCGGACCGTCTGCTTTGATGCCAACAGAGGGTTAGATGGGCACGTGCAAGGTGGAGAAATGTAATGTTTACTGACGAGTCCCGTTTTCTACTCACACGTGCTGATAGGCGCGCACGTGTCTACAGACGTCAGGGTGAACGTTACGCCCCCAACTGTGTGCAGCAGGTTGTCCCATTTGGCGGGGGGAGTGTCATGGTATGGGCCGGAATTCATCGCGGTGGTAGGACGCCTCTCGTGCATGTGGCAGGTGCATTGACAGGTGTAACAGAGACTTGATCCTACAGCCTTACGTTCTTCCTCACGTCAACGTTCATGGCGGACAGTTCAAGCAGGACAATGCTCGACCGCATATTGCACGTGTTTGTCAGGACTTCTTACAGCACAACAACATCCAGACATTACCTTGGCCAGCCTGGTCATCAGATTTGTCCCCGATTGAGCATCTGTGGGACAAGTTGGATCGACGCGTTAGCAGAAGGAATCCACCGCCCCAAACACTTCCGGCGCATCTTGATGCACTTCAGCATGAATGGCAGCACATCCAACAGTGTGTTATTGACAACTTGATTGCATCTATGGGTCGTCGGTGTCAAGCGGTGATTGATGCACGTGGTGCGCACAACCGATACTGAAATTTTCTGTACCCCTGTGACATTAACTGTATCGAGTACGTGTGTCTGTCTAGGTGACACGATTAATGTTTTGAACATTGTGTACATTGATCTTCAAACAGTGTTTCAATTATGGTTTCTGTGTCCTATTTTGAAACAATCGCATTATATTACATTTTGAAAGTCAGTGTCAAGTTTCTTTTTTTGAAGAGTATACAATTTAGTTTCGCGTAAGTATAAGTGCTTCATTATCAAAAATGAAAAAATGTTGACTGCAGTTATTGAAGTGAATAACTCCAGTTTCGTCTCCATTATACCTGTCTTTATGATCAATAGGAGGCGGTTCAAGTGTTTCAAGTTCTTGCACATTCAATCAGGATAAAATTCACATTATTAAGTTCCACTTTATCTTGTTCAAAAGGCATTCTGAATTGTCTCTGTGCTGGAAGAAGACTAATGTTGTTCGTTACTGAGACCAGGAAGCTGGGCATTCAAGCAAGCACATCAATGACATCCACCACACAAATGTGTTCATCTCAATCCATGTTTCTTACAGCTACATCACTGAGAATTACACATGTTAGATTTACAGTTGCATTTGATGATGTTGAGCAATTCTTCTGGTGGCAAATCTGTCTGTATGGGCATCATTTTGTTGCCAACTGCCTTCCAACCCCAGTCTTTAGGATCTAGTCCAGCTGTTTTCCCTTTCCATTCTAGGACTTGGAAGTAAACCTACAAACTGTGATACTTAATTGCAGCTGATGTTGGTGGTAGACTCTAGGGATGAACATGGACATGGCTTGAGGCAACCTTCTCACAAAGACGCCGA